AATAAAACGTAAATTAATAATAATAAACATAAAATTAATTAATAAATAATAATAATATATAATATAATAAATATTAATATAATAAAAGTACGTAGATTAATATAAAAATTAATATAATATTAATAGTATAATATTATAGTTCCCGTATCTACGAACAGTCACTCATTCCGTAAGTACGAATAATATCATTTACTTTATTTTTTAACTTTATTATATTGTACACGATGTCTTTCATACTTGAACTCTTGAAAGAAATTACAATTAATATATGATATTAGTTTTCAAGCAAAGTGTGTGATGGAATATCCACCGATAATTATACAAGTAGATAAGATACTGTATAAGACTAGGTCATGTGTATTCCAAAAACTTTTAAAAATGTTTTTTATTATTTCTGTTTATTTATTGTTTTTATTTATTTCTATCTCTATGAATTAATTAATTACTTTTACTTTATGCAATACTTTTACTTCGTTCTTTTACTTCTTTCAGAATTATTGGTCCGTAGTGAAATTTCCCAGTAACAATATTGACGAATCACCGAGCATTGAAGCAATTCCAACTTCATGGATAACAATGAGCGAAAAAGGGATTATCACTTGTAAATGGCCTGAAAAAAATCATAGGAAGTACATTTCGAAAGCTGTAGCTCCGAAGAGTACTTAGAGTACTTATGACATTTCGATTCTATTTCAAAGTGGTAAATATAATTATTATAGATATTGTATATTTATCTTTCAATTATCTCACATTTTGAATTATTAAATTTTTTTGAGAATTATAAAAAATTGAATTCCTATTATATTCCTGTATATAATAAATAGTAAATATTTTATTCCATACTGAAAACTATATGTATTCTGTTTTCCTTGTGTAGGAGACATTTCTGTATTTATTGAGAGGTACCTTTCCACAAAAGCAGATACGGACTGCTTTGGGAAAATTGTTTTCCAATAAATTGGAAAAAAAATGTTCATGGATGGGAAGAAGCGGAAATTTCCAATTGAGTAATCTCATTGTCATGGATATTTTGAAACGTATGTCTTATATATTATATTATATTTATATACTTTACGTAATATAATTATTTTTCCATTACTAATCATAATCATTTATATTTATATTTAAATTTCTGTAGTCGCAGTTCGTCGACACTTTCTTGCTGTGACTGATAAAGAATATAAATAAAAGCTATGTGTCAGATTGGTTTCGCCATGCGAATACGCGTTACAAAAGAGATGAATATATATACAGGGTGTCCGACAATTGCTGAATCACCTCTTGGGTGCAGGTAGAGCGGGTTAAACCGAGTAGAAAAGTCCTCTACCGTTTTGCGATTTTCGCAATAATTAATTTTATATTAATTATATAAGATCCTGACGTTCCTTAAATGTTTCAGAAACGTCGCAAATGTAACATCCCATATGTAACGTAAATGATGTAGGACATTTTGGGTTACCGACATGTTTCGTAGATGTTTCTGAGATATACCGGCAAACGTTACACTGCCACAATGTGACATTGTTGTAACATTTCTAAAACGTAATTTTGTTTAGTGGGATTATAACATATTTTTTTTCTACTGTAATAAAAATAAATTTTATATTTTGATGTGTATTTTAGATACCAAAGTAAACGCATAAAATAAGGCTAATTGTAAGTATTTAAAAGAAGTATATATATTGAAACAGATTATTGCAAATCACAAAATTAATGTTGTTTTTTTTATTAAGATTTTTTTACAAATAATACATACAAAAAACTAAAAATACCTAAATTTTTCGGAAGGGTCTCAACTGCCTACATTCCCATTTGCCAACAGCTTTGCCCACAACATTTTGCCGACAGCTTCAATTGCCGACATTCCCGATTGCCTACAGAGCGATTGCCTACAAGCATTATTGCGCACATTTAAAAATTAAAAATACAAACGTACGTTTGCACACAAGACATTATTGCACACATACACATTGCACACATGACATTATTGCGCACATACACATTGCACACATAATATTATTGCGCATATTTTTCCATGCAAAACGAGGTTCAACATGGGTTTACAACTTTGTTTGTGGACCTTGGTTAACCTTGTTAGGTTTACCTTGTTAGGTATAACCTGAGTAGGATTTGTTATTTGTTTTACGCGGGGGCGAAGTCCTCCGCCGCCTACGCGTGAAATTTCAAACAAAGTGAGGTTCAACGTGGGTTTACGAGTTTCTCTACAAAGCGCAATAATGTCATGTGCGCAATGTGTATGTGTGCAATAATGTCTTGCGTGCAAACGTACGTTTGTATTTTTAATTTTTAAATGTGCGCAATAATGTCATGTTTGCAATGTGTATGTATGCAATAATGTCTTGTGTGCAAACGTACGTTTGTATTTTTAATTTTTAAATGTGCGCAATAATGCTTGTAAGCAATCGCTCTGTAGGCAATCGGGAATGTCGGCAATTCAAGCTGTCGGCAAAATGTTGTGGGCAAACAAAGCTGTTGGCAAATGGGAATGTAGGCAGTTGAACCCCTCTCGTTTTTTATAATTTTAATATTTATAATAGCATTTAATTTTATATAATGTTGTTCATATAACATTAAATAAATGATTAGATTTAAACTTACTTTTAATCTAATTTTATCATTATATCAACATTGACACAATATTAATATTTTATTATTTATTTCATATTCTTAGTAAATACAAAGTAACATAACATCAATGTTATAATTTTTCACTCAATAAAGTACAGCAAGGTATGTTATATTGCAGTTAATTGTTAAATAATTCAACAATGTAACTGCAATGTTATATATACCTTGCTGTACATTATTGAGTGAGAAATTATAACATTGATGTTATGTTACTGTGTGTTTACCAGAAATATTAAATAAATAATAAAATATTAATATGGCGCCAATGTTGATACAATGATAAAATAATTATTTAATTTTTATTATAATCAATAATTTATAAATTATTTTAAAAAGTTACTAAAATGTTTCAATATACAGGGTGTTTCATAATGTCCGTGCCAACGCTCGTGTACGGATAGAGTGCGGTAAACTAAATAGAAAAGTCCTTTACCGTTTTGCAATTTTCGCAATAGTAATTGAGATATTAATTAAAAGGGATTGACGAATCATTGCGCGTTGATCGCGGCTAGATCGTAGGCTGTACGCTCTAGGCGTGACAGCAATGAGAATCGCATGACAACGAAAAATAACAACGCATATCACTTCTGCTCTCGCTACGTGTTATTTTTCGTTGCCATGCAATCCTCGTTGTTGTCACGTTTAGAGTGTACAGCCCACGATCTAGCTACGCGCAACGCGCGATTATTCGTCAATCCCTTTTAATTAATATCTCAATTACTATTGCGAAAATTGCAAAACGGTAAAGGACTTTTCTATTTAGTTTACCGCACTCTATTCGCACACGAGCGTTGGCACGGACATTATGAAACACCCTGTATAATTGTCATATAAGTAATATATTTTCGGAAAAGTTACGTAGTTTGACGACGGTGAAGAAAAAGGTAAAAAATTCAGTAATTCTGCAAAAATTTTCGTGCAATGAAAAAGGTAATTTGAATTGCACGGACTGTTACGCAATGCACAGAGTAAACGGAGTCGTTACGGTACTCGTTGCAACACTCGATAATATAACAAAGAATTTTACAAATCGCAGTTGTTAAAAATAAAATTGTTTATTTAAGTAACTTATGGGCTAAAAAAAGATTGATATTTATAATTATTAATAATTAATTTTAGAAATAATATAATAATATAAAAAATAAAATAATATAGAAATAATATACTTGTCTAAGTAAAAATATTTCTTTTTTTTTTCAAAACAAAATCAACAAAAATAATAACTGCCATAAAAAAATAGTGTGCAAAAAAATTAAATCCGCAGTTAATTCAATTTTAATGAATAATACGTAACGTAACCGTAGTATATCCTCACTATACCAATAGATTGTTTTGCGTGAATTTTATGAGTGTAATAATATATGTCAAATCTCTCTCTCGTATATGATATCAAATTAAGTTTTCAGAATATTACGGTTCTCGTACTTGTAAGCAATCTTTACATGCAAAATACGGTGTTTACTCAATATAGAGTTATTAGCGGTGACACGAGATACATGTGTAAAGGCGACTGGTCCGGTCACCAAAATGCCTGTACGAAATTTCGCTCGCGTAAGCGAAAACCGTCGTCGTCGGCGTAACCGTAAGCACCACCGTAAGCAACGTGGATGAAAATAAATGGAAAAAGTTCTGCCGGGGATATCTATTAGCCAGTAACCTACATATGAAGTAACTTAGAGGTCGCGACAGGACGCGACGCCGTAAATCAAGCCGGAGGCGCTTAATTGCACATTTCGCTCGGCCGGGGGGGGGGGGAAGTAATCTGGTGAGCGCGCTTCTTAACTTTGCGAGAGCACAACGCGCCCGTCTCATCCGTAAATCACGTCACCGCGCCGCGCGATAGTCACGGTTATTTATCCGTCCTGAATGCGGAAAATACGCGTCGCAACTTACGAGCGTTCAGAGATAATCTTCAGCCGCGACGAGCAACCATTTTTCGGAAATAACGACCCACGGTAGATCCGCGATAGAGATTTTTAATAAGCGTCTCAGAGGTTTTCGAGACGAGGACCCGGGCTATCGTTTATCTCCGCGGATTCTTTGCGCCTCGTTACATCCGCGAGTTGCCTGGTCAGTCCGCAGACTTTTTACTTCTCGGAAAATGTGCTCGACTGAGCAGAATTACTTTCTTCTAAAGTGCTACTTGAAGTAATAAACAATTCACCCCGTTATTAGAGAATTTGCAAAATATAGAAAAGCGAAATTAAAAAGCTCTTTTTCTCTCTCCTTCTCTCTTCCACTGTTCTTCGTTTTTGTTTACAGATGTTGCTCCAAGTTCTCCCACGGTGCCACAGGTGTTTGCAGTGTATGCGGTTTATACTCCGCTGAGAAATCAACTTCTTTTCAGACACTGCCAACTATGACCGTTTTGTTTACTTCATCACATCGGAAACAAAGCTGAATTTCGCTGGCGAAAAAGCACGGAGCATAGCGTCGCTGCCGTAAACCATAAAATCATTAAATAAATAACATGACGCATTAACGCGCATTTGTACCATCTCATTACGATATTTTCATTTCAGTAATTTTAATAACACAGCCCGGCCAGTCCTTCAATAATATAATTTACTTCATACATATTATATAGAATTTATACATTAATGTGCATTGGCAAACATTTACGCCGGTCTCATTTATGCAGCTGAATAATTAATAGGCAATTATGTCGGTTTGCACCACGCGTGGTCTTACGCTCCATCATGTAGAACGTTGATGCGGTTAGCAATATAAATATATAACAATGGCACCCTCACTGCTGATACTAATTACACCAAGCCAATAACTGTAATATGTTTCAATAAATCTTCAAGTGTATCGTTAACAGAGATTTGCGTAAGACGAAAATACACATCGTAAATTTGGTACTGGCGCGCCTTGTCGAAGAATTTGCTTCCGAGAGATGGAAAAGTCATCGCGAAAGGTTCCAGCGAGATCGTTCTGAATCCAAGCGTCCGCAAAACCCCGTGACTTAATTGCCTGAGGATTAGTCCTGAGGACTTAATTACCTGAGGATCAGTCCCGTAAGACACGTAGATATATCAATAGAGTATACGGGTGGGAACTGCATGCAAAACTACATAATTTATCTGACGACCTGGAACCGTAGAGAAATACGGGTGACACGCGAAAGTCGGGATTCCGATGCGCTTTCATCGTCCCGGCTGCAGGCGGTGCGGTAACGCTAAGTAGTCGGTTCTAGCTTCTAAGACAATCGCTCAAAATGAAGCACTATAAAAAAAATTAAATAACATTTAACATTTAAAATTAATAACAATTAAATTAAATAACATCTGTCTTAATCTGTCTTGTCGATCTTTCATAATCCGAAAAATACGTATACTTCGGCTTATTTTTATGTCGAAAGAAGAAAATTATTAAAAATTATTCATAGATAAACACTTTTTTTGAATATTAAAATATTTATACTTAAAATATTTATACTTAAAAATTAAATATGTTTATATTTAACACCGCACAAATAAATAGAAATAAAATAGAAATGTATGTATCAAAAGTCGACTGCGAGCTGACTGGAGAAACCGTCGTTAAAAATGAAATGAAGACCCCCGCGACGAAACATAAGAGCATTTTCGCATGTTGGTAGCGTTTGTGGTGAAAACTTTAACAGGTAGGGGGAAGTCTCCTGGTACCGGACACTTAAGATTTTTTGACAATTGAATGAAAACAAAACAACTAAATCTATATGTTTTAATTTTTATATCAAGTTTGACATATGTGACTCATGTGAAAATAAAAAGTTTTGATGATTAACAATAAGTAGAAATAAACATTAATATATATTTTTTAGAGCCATTTTGAATCACAGTTTTGGAAAAGGTCCCCTATAACCAGACATATCCAAAAATACTAAAAATATTATTAAGATAAGGTGCATCGATCACAAATGTATTCCTGTTTGGTTTCAGGAATGTCCGCACATGCTTCGTGCGCCCGTTCCATGCAGCTACAGCACTGGATCCAATCTTCCTCGTTATCTTCGAGGCAAATTACACATGCTGTTTTTTCTTTTGCATTGTAGACAGTTTGTCGGCGATTACTATTTTTAAAAAAATAAAAGTGTATAAAAAAAGTGTATTATAAAAGTGTTTTCCGGCCATCTTTTTTCTTTATTAAATCTGTGATCTATTTTTAGTGACTCAGCTAAATCAAATGCAAGCTTTTGAAATTCTTTTTTAGTTAGGGGCATGCATCTATGTGACAAGTTTACGACATGTTCTTTTAAAGTCATTTCATAAATTTCATCAAATGTCTTTTAAATCCTTTTTTGGAATAAAGGCTGACTTCGCCACCCTGTTTTATGACTTTTATGTTGTCAAATAGTGTACTTTTTGGCACCGCATATCTTTCGGAAGCTTTCCGAATTGATAATTCACCCGATAATACCTTATTCATCGCGATTTTCATTTTTTGTTTATTCTGCACAGTATTCTTATTCTTCACTTTCATGTTTAGAAAAGAAATCTGTAATAAATAATAAACGTACATGATCAATAAACAAGACATGGTAGTGTCCGGTAATAGGGGACTTTTCTAGTGTCCGGATACAGAGACCTTTAATACATTCGAAATCAGACGAAAAGTCGATAAATCCGTGACAGCTTTGAAAAGTAAGTCGAATTTATTATAAGTATACATACCAATGAACAATCTTACGTGCCCACGAAGTAGCAAAATCTACGTTATTTAAAGATATATTACTTACAAAATTATTTGTAACGCACAAAAAATGCTTGTTGGATACAACAACCGCTCTCACTAGCCGGTGGCAGCAGATTGACGAACGACGCACATTACTCGCGCATCTCCCGAACAAAAGAATCAAGCCACGCTCGCAACAAACGTCTTTTGTTTTTAGTTCTATAGATATATGTACTGTCCGGTTATAGGCGCCGTCCGGTATTAGGGGACTTCCCCCTAGAACTACAGATAGATAGAATTATAGAACGGTGAGAATAAATTGAGACATCAAAAAGGAACGCGGTAAACAAAGTAGCTATAAAAGAGAGAATTCGTTGAGGAAATCAAAGAACGATTAGATTCGTCGACCGGCACTCTTGCAAAAAGTTTAATTCGGAATTTAATACCCATACAGCACACAAACGTTGAATCAATATCTAAAAAACGTAGAATTGCAACATTATGAATGTTTCAGCAACGTTGCGAAATATAGATTCAATGTTGAAAAAATATTGAAGAAATGTCTAATGTCCGCTGAATTGCAATGTCTGCAAGACAAGAAACATTGATTCAATATTGATTCAACATTTAATCAATGCAGAATTTATATATATTATACATTATAATAATGTTTTGAAAAATTGAACAAAATAAATGTTTAAAATTAATTTTTATTTAAATATATATATTACATTGCAGCATAATATATTTTATATTATTTTATATTATATTTTGATAATTATATATTATATCACTTGTTTTTTATTGAACACACAAATCATCTTAAATCGTCATAAATATTATCTTAAATCGTCATAAGTCATCTTAAATCGTCATAAATCATCTTCGGCATCATCGTGATTGCTGCATATCTGCATATTTTTGTTTTCATCAAGTGAAATAGAAGATTTTCTATAAATAAATAATAATTACATACATTATAGCAACACACTTTTTTATAGCTAATAAATAAATATATATTTGCATATTTATACATATTTATTGTTTATATATGTATATAAAGTTATATACATACTTTCTCTCTCGACGAGCTTTGGCCTGTACTAGCCATTTCGCTATAAATTTGGCAACTTCCTCCTCAGTCACGTCCTTGTAATGAATGCGGACAGTTTCTATTATAAATTTAATCAAATTAATACCAGTTTTCGATAACGCTGACAAATACTAAAAAAATTTATAGTAATAATAAAAAATTTACTAAGTATGATTTTGTACAAAGTCAATTCCTGGAAAGCCTTTTTCTTTTTCATTCCGGCAAAACTGTACATTTCGGCCAAAGAGTTAGACATCAATTTTTTAAGTATATTAATAGTGCAAGAATGCACATCAACACCTCCTAGGCCTTTTAATGTATGTACCTATGATTATAAAGATAAATAATTTCAGAAATGTTCGAAGTGTTCTTGACATCGATTAACATTATTATTTTTAAATTAAATTGAGTTAGAAAATAACATACCATACTTTCAAAAAACTCATTGTCTTCCAATTTATTTTCTAGAGTATTAAGTGCTAATTCATCGCACAAAGGCAATCCCAATTCTTTTGTATTTAAAGTGTTAATATCCCCCTCACGTTTGTAATAAGAAATT